GGAAGTATATATGTATAAAATTTAATATGTAAAGGGTATAATAGTAAAACACTTCTATGTAAATTAATTTTAAGATTCATTTTCTATACTCAAAGCTTTATATATATATATATATATATGACCAAATAGTTATATAATAAAATATGATATTCTGTTCTTCCTCGTGGTATTAAAGCTCGAGATAAACAGTGTATTTAAACATATGAAGAACTTTTTGTGAGATGGAGAAAAATTGTTAAATGACAAAAAATTTGAGATTAGATAAAGCGGATATTAGTAGATTTCCTAGTTCATTTTCAAATTGCAATAGATATATGAAAAATTTAGGAAAAAAATATTTCCTTTATTTCACTCTTACTTTGGTGTTATAGACCACATACACATATATATAAGAATTCTCATGTACACATAAGGAAATTACCCTTATAATGGGGTACTATCATTATGGAAAAAATTAATGGTAGAATTATAAAATATCGTGGTTATTTATGTAACAAAATGTTCATGTTAACACTCACCCTCAACTTGGTGTAACAAAATGTTCATGTCAACACTCACCCTCAACTTGGTGTAAAAATATCACACATACCCAAGTTACATATCAAGTTCTAAAAAATTTTGTTGCTAAGTTCTTTAGCGAAGATATCTGCCACTTGATTGATTGAAGATGTATGATATAAATATAAGAAGTCATCAACTACTTTTTCTTTTATGAAGTGACAGTCACAACCACTTTTTCTTTTATGAAGTGACGATCAATCTCAATGGGTTTTGTCATATCATGTTAAAGTGAATTTTAGACAATAATAATAGTTGCTTTATTGTCACAAAACAATGGTACATTTTCTTCTTTAAACAATCTTAACTTCTTCATTAGCTTTTGTAATTATAATAATTCACATACCTCGTGGGCCATTGCTTTATATTCTATTTCAGTAGTAGAACGGGCAGCTCCCCTCTGCTTCTTGTTTTTCCCTGTAACCAAGTTGTCTCCAACGAGTGTGTAGTAACTGGTAGTTAACTTCTATCGT